GCCAGAATACGAGGGCAACAAATGGAAAACTGCACCAATATGCAGGCAATGGGACACGGGGACCCAACTATGGCAGCCGGCTATTTTATTAGTGAGCTGCAGCAAAAGGCAGAAATCATGTCATGTAACTGGCCAGAGTTAAACAGGAAACAGCTCAGCAAAAATACTCATTTTACCTTTAACTGTCCTATAAGATGAAAGTTAAACTTTAAGTGTAGCACAGACCATGTATTATAAGAACTGATCAATTCCTCTGCTGTCATCTCCAGGACTTCCACTTTGTAAACATACAGCACTTCCGGTTAACCTTTTATCTTTTCCTGTTGAGCTACCATCACTTCCTGTGTTCACTTTCCATCACTTCCTGTCTGCACCAATTATCAGTTTCTAATACCATCACTTCCTGTGTTCACTTTCCATCACTTCCTGTCTGCACCAATTATCAGTTTCTATCGGTCCCTTACACTGGTAGTGATATCGCCATCTTGTGGATAATAAACAAACTGCAGCCTCCATTACTTTTCATTGAAGCCCACCTGAGAGTCGCGCAGCCCACCTGAGAGTCGCGCAGCCCACCTGAGAGTCGCGCAGCCCACCTGAGAGTCGCGCAGCCCACCTGAGAGTCGCGCAGCCCACCTGAGAGTCGCACACCTGAGAGGAGCACAGCACACCTGAGAGGAGCACAGCACACATGAAAGTCGCACAGCCCACCTGAGAGTCGCACAGCACACCTGAGAGTCGCACAGCACACATGAGAGTCGCATAGCCCACCTGAGAGTCACACAGCCCACCTGAGAGTCGCGCAGCCCACCTGAGAGTGTGCACAGCTTACCTGAGATTCGCGCAGCCCTCCTGAGAGACACAAAGCCCACTTAAGAGTCGCACAGCCCACCTGAGAGTCACATAGCCCGCCTGAGCGGAGCACAGCTTACCTGAGAGGCGCACAGCCCACTTGAGAGGCTCTCTTCCTTAGATTCTACAAAAAATAAAATTGCAACGTTAGAGTGTTCGGGTTTCACTTCAAGAGAAGGTGGCAAGCCTAACTTATGGGCACACCAATTATTGTGAAAACGTCCACTTCCGTTTTTGTTTGCAGGACAGGAAGTGAAGAAAACTTCCCAATAGGACACAAAGGGCCCTTTCAGAGGTTTTAACAATATAAACTAAAAACAAGTTAACCTTCAACATACTTTAGCCCCGCCCTACTCCATTCAGACCTGAAAATCATATTTGTGGCCTTTACAGTTCCCTTTATTAAAGACATAAAGCCCAACACTGGAATAAACGACGCTCGGCTTCCTCTTGGCCTCTGCGCGTGACTATGGTAACCATGAAGTCACTGCACATCTGAGGAACAGACACAGCGGAAGTGTGGGAGCCACAGGGCGGAAACTCTTGTGCCTGAGCTGCCTAGCAACAAGGTCCCGCCTACTGAGCTCTGATTCGTGTCACAGCTTACACTAGAGGGCGATGGTTATAGCAAAGCATTTCCGTCTGCAGTGAAGCGGCGGCCATTTTTCCTTAGCTCACACCCTTTCTGCTCTACAAAGACAGGAAGGCGACGGCCATTTTTTTGTAGCTCACAAAGAAACCCTAACAAAGTTACAACTTCCCTCTGGCTGCAGCAGCTGCTGGATGGGGTGTGAGGCTGGAGAGTGTGTGTCCAATGGGGAGGAGGTAATAATGATGTCTTTTTAATATGAGCCAGGAGGGTCCCAGGACTGGCTAAGGACTTGTTGGAGTTGGGGGGATATGTGACCTTGGGAGGCAAGGGTGGGACAAATGTCTTCAGAAAGAGCTAGGGATACATATGACATATCCATGCATGAGAACCTAGTGTAGAGCTGAGTGACAGATGCTCATATTTCAGGTTCCCAGCTCCGCCCACCTATCCAAGCTGTCACAGGGGTGGTCTCTCCAATCTGTGTTCCTCCACCATTCTCCTCCCTTTAATTCCCCCCC